GGTCTCACTTTTGGTACCGTACCTTTCCTCTTGAAATCAATCATTAAAGATACTTCATTCACACAATTAGGTATCTTCTCAATCGCTACTTATCCATACTCATTGAAAATCCTATGGTCACCAATTGTAGACTCCATCTACAGCAAACGGATAGGTAGAAGAAGATCATGGATTATACCAACTCAATTGGTCTCAGGTGTACTTCTATTCATATTAGGCGTGGCCATCTCAAGAAATCACATATTTAAATATGTAGACGATCCATATCATGGCAGAGTCACTCCAAATTCAACCTCAATGGATTTAAATATACCAGAATTGACGGCAATTTTCACAATTTTGGTATTCCTATGTGCTACCCAAGATATTGCAGTCGATGGCTGGGCATTGACTATTCTTTCAAAACAATCATTGTCTTATGCCGCCACTGCCCAAACTATCGGTTTGAATATCGGTTATTTCTTATCCTTCACCGTCTTTATTTCTTTCAATTCAATGGAATTCATCAACTCTTATTTCAGAACCAATCCATTATCACACGGTTGGGTCAGTTTAGGTGGTTACATGAAGTTCTCCGGGATTGTATACATTTTGGTCACAGTATACATTATGCTATTCACTAAAGAACATCCAAGTGAAGAACATGGTTTGATGTCTGTTAATTCAGATGATCAAAAAAAATCTACGAAAATGTTACATCTAACAGAATATGATGATAAAGATATAGGAATTTCAAATGAAAATCCAAAAGAGAAAACACAGAACATAGCCTATATTTATAGTTGTTTTATCAAGGTTTTGAAATTACCACCCGTTCAAACACTATCGCTAATGCATTTAACTACAAAATTCGCATTCCAATGTAATGAAGCCGCAACTAATTTAAAACTATTAGAAAAAGGTTTTAGAAGAGAAGACTTAGCAATTACCGTTCTTATCGATTTCCCTTTCGAAATCGTATTTGGTTATTATGTTGCAAAATGGAGTTCCACTGCATCCGATACTAAAACTACAAAGGATAAAAGATTGGTCGAACAGCCAAACAAGAAGAAACTCAATTATAACGAATTGTCAATGCTAGGAAAGATTCAAAGACTTCTTGTCGGAGAACAAGGTGTCTTGACCCCATGGTTATATGGTTTCATAGGGAGACTAGTAGCAGCCATTTTAGCAAATTTCATTATCCACTCATTCCCTGCTGATGGAAATATAACAAAATCTTACTTTCTCTTGGTGATATTACAACATTTATTGGGTTCTTTTATGCAAACAGTTCAATTTGTCAGTGTTTCATCATTCCATACAAGAATTGCAGACCCTGTTCTAGGTGGTACTTACATGACATTGTTGAATACACTGAGTAATTTCGGTGGTACTTGGCCTAGACTTCTGATTATGTCATCCATTAATCATTTCACAATCTATAAATGTACAGCAAGTGATGAGTCTGTATCATATGCTCATAATTTGAAAAACTCTGACGGTACTAAATTTTGTGACGTCGGCGATTTAGAATTGGTTAGAGACGGCTATTATTTTACAAATTGGATGTGTATAATTATTGGTATTTGTCTATTTTTTGGATTCTTAAGAAAAAGTGCATTGAAGATCCAAAAGCTACCAATTGAGGCATGGAGAACAGAAACGTAAATAGGTGGGACCATCTCCATTGTACCATAGGAGGACCAAAAATTCCGAAAGGAATATTAAATTAAAAAAAGTACTTAAGGTTATTTATAAAAATTTATAAATGATCACGGCCATTATATATGCTGAAAGAAATCCGGTTATTTGTTCAGATATTGTATGGAAAACAATAATTGTAACTAAGAAACTATAAGCCCACAATAAAAGTAATGAAGTCAAAAGTATCACAGGATTTTCAATTAGGATAGATTTTGTTATCAAAAATAGTATTTTAATTATGCTTGATGCAAAAGTTAATGGTGGCAAGATGAGCACCTGATAGATGTATTCTGATACTGTAGTTGGATTATTATTTATTATATTCCAAATAGCACCATTGTCAAATAATTTAGTTATTGATATACAAATTCTTTTAAACGAACTTTCTTTTTTAGATTCATCTTCTATTCTACCGTTAGATCTTAAATATTTAAATTTTATAATTCTTGGTATTTCAGAAGATATTAGCATTATCATAAGGGTTAATATGAACATATGACCTGAGGGATCGTGCCCGCCAACCCAATGGCCACCATGGGCTCTACAATTTGAAGAGACCATATCAACTAACGGATCAAGTTTGAAAACCGTATTTTTAATGTCAGCATTTATATTTGGAGGAGAAGAAACTGAATTACAATTACTCTTATTATCAAGAGCACATTTTAAACGTTGTATATGTCCCTGAGTCGCAACGCCATCTGTATTCTTCAACAAAATACTATATAGCTTTTTAATTGCTTTTACACGTCTTGAAGAAGTATCTTGGAATGTAATATTAGCACCACCAAGATCATCAAAAACATCAAAACTACAGACCCCACCAGTGTATACGAACCATATATCCATTACAGGAGGTATATTTAAAAATGATATCCCTTGTGTAAAGACATACCACCAAAAAGTTAGCGCAAAATATCTCTTGATGAATTTTTTATTAATTAAATTTACATTTGTCATAAACAATGAATACCAAACTACAATTGTAGTCCAGAACCAACCTTTTTTAACAAATATAACGTTCAAGAAATTATCTCGATCGATATTTAAATTACTTGCACCTTCATTTATATAATATATTGAATAAGCAATTAGAAATAAAAAAGGACACACAAATAACCAAAGAATATTAATTAATCTCATTGGTATCCATGATCTATTAACATTCTTAACACTCTTGAAAATGTTAAATTCACAATATACCAAATCAATATCAGAATACCAGTTTATATATGTCGTCATCTAAAAACTTCCTTCTGTTGAACAGATATTATAAATTTCAACGTACTGGATCAAGTTTCGAAATTTTAAACCCACCAAAATGAACAGAGCAACAATTTTCCTTTTTACCTTCTTTCTAAGCTAAGTGATGAGATGATTTTAAAAAAGTGGGAACGAACCACTGTTATGATGAAGATGTTTGGTAAGAGTGGTTGGAATGGAATGGCATGAACATTCTGAAATGCATCATTTGGTTTTTACGTTGAAGATTAGACGTTAATAGAGAATTGGATACGTTGTCGAGAAATAAAAAAAGTTTTAGTAATGGAAGAACCCACGGTAGATACAACAACGGCTGCTGATGTTGAGGAACTACTCCCTACTAGATTTGAAGTAGAGTTAGAGTTTGTTCAGTCATTGGCTAATATACCTTATGTAACGTACTTGTTAACACAAAATACTTCAAAGAACCAGCAAGGTACACAAATCTATAAGGATCCTAAATTTAAAAACTATTTAAAGTATTTAGAGTACTGGTGTGAGCCTCCATATTCACAATGTATAGTTTATCCCAATGCGTTGTTCGTATTGAAATTAATCAATGGATTTATGGATAAGGCTGTAGTTAACGAAGATGGCATACTTGAAGGTGTTGATGAGTTACCAAGAGTATTGCAATTGCAAGGTGCACAATGGATGAATGAGATGGTTGAGAGGTGGGAAACTTGAAGGCAGAAAAGGAGGGAAAGACACAGTAATTTAATTTAATTTAATTTAATTTAATTTAATGTAATGTAATGTAAATAAGTATATATATGTGTGCTTAGTTTAGTTTTGAATATAATAAATAACAGCAATGGTCACGTGTGTATATGTCGTATGTGAATGTGAATATATAAAGTGGAATGGGTGTGGTTATATCTCTGGGATATACTAAGTTTGTCATGTTAGTTTTTACGTCAGCAACAATAGCAATAGATGCAACTGGCAGGATTCGAATTGGCATTGAGAAAGCTGATGCAAGCAATAAAATCACATGACTAGAAAATGAAATTCAGTCTATTTTCTTTCCATTTTATCTTTCGGAATAATTGTTTTCGCTACTTTGCCAAAGATTTCACGAAGAACTGACCCAAGTAAAAGCAAAATTCACATAATTTTAGAATTGTTCCGAATCATTAAGAGGAGTGGTAGTAGTATTTTCGGATAATTAAAACACCCACACCCACACACCGCATGCATATTAACCCTCATATATATGTTTATTTCCTAGGGAATTTGTAATTTTTGAATTCCCAATTCTCTTCCTCCTCCTTCCTCTCCGGCTGCTGTCGCTACCACTCAGAGCGACTGAAAGGCAAAAACGAAAGGAAGGAATAGCCAAATCCAAAGGGCCAAAAAAAAAAAAATAAAAGATAAAATAAAATTTTTTGCCTGATTTTTCCGAAACTTACGGCAGTTTCTGGTGAGTCACTAAAATATGACCATCTGGACACTCGAAACCGATTCTCATTGGTCAGATCTCAACAATCGACAATTGGGAGCGATGAGGAGAGACTTGTATAAAAAGGGAAACAAGATGAGATTGAGTTTACAGCTCATGTTTCGAGCTTATGAGATCTGGAATGTGCCCTTTAGTCCGATTTTCAATTATCTTATATCATTTCGAATCTTAAGAGCAAGACAAGATCAATTGCGATAACAATTGAAATTATTTAAAATATAGTAATCTCAAATGGTAGCTGCTGCTCAGTTTGGAGGTCTAAGAGACAACCACAGTCTGTTGGGTGAGAAAAATAAATTATTAGTGGCGAACAGAGGTGAAATTCCAATTAGAATCTTTAGATCCGCTCATGAATTGTCTATGAGAACTGTTGCGATTTATTCGCATCAAGATAAATTATCAATGCATAGATTGAAAGCAGATGAATCCTATGTTATTGGCCGTGAAGGTGAATATACCCCAGTTGGTGCTTATCTGGCAATTGATGAAATTATCGATATAGCTAAAAAACATGGTGTCGATTTCATTCATCCTGGTTATGGGTTCCTATCAGAAAATGCAGAATTCGCGGCTAAAGTTATTGACGCAGGTATCACTTGGATTGGTCCTCCCCCAGAGGTTATCAATTCTGTCGGTGACAAAGTCTCAGCAAGAAACTTAGCGGCTAAAGCTAACGTCCCTACCGTTCCTGGTACCCCAGGTCCAATTGAAACAGTAGAAGAAGCAAAAAATTTTGTAAAAGAATATGGATACCCAGTAATAATTAAAGCTGCATTCGGTGGTGGTGGTAGAGGTATGAGAGTCGTAAGAGAAGGTGATGACATTGTCGATGCATTTAATAGAGCAAAGTCTGAAGCTGTTACTGCCTTTGGAAATGGTACCTGTTTTATCGAAAGATTCTTGGATAAACCAAAGCATATAGAAGTTCAATTATTAGCTGATAATTACGGTAACGTTGTGCATCTTTTTGAAAGAGACTGTTCCGTTCAAAGAAGACACCAAAAAGTTGTAGAAGTTGCCCCAGCAAAGACTTTACCAATCGAAGTACGTAACGCTATCTTGACAGACGCTGTTAGATTGGCTAAAGAAGCTGGTTATCAAAATGCTGGTACAGCTGAATTCTTAGTCGACAACCAAAATAGACATTATTTCATTGAAATTAATCCAAGAATTCAAGTCGAACATACTATCACTGAAGAAATTACAGGTATTGATATCGTAGCAGCACAAGTTCAAATAGCTGCTGGTGCATCTTTAGAACAATTGGGATTACTTCAAGATAGAATTGTCACCAGAGGTTTTGCTATTCAATGTCGTATTACTACAGAGGATCCAAGCAAAAACTTCCAACCTGATACAGGTAGATTAGAGGTTTACCGTTCCTCAGGTGGTAATGGTGTCAGATTAGACGGTGGTAACGCATTTGCAGGTGCAATCATTTCACCTCATTATGATTCTATGTTGGTCAAATGTACCTGTACTGGTTCAACTTATGAAATTGTAAGACGTAAAATGCTGAGAGCTTTAATCGAATTCAGAATCAGAGGTGTAAAGACCAACATTCCATTTTTGTTGACGTTATTAATGCATCCAGTCTTCATTAATGGTGATTATTGGACTACATTTATCGATGATACTCCACAGTTGTTCAAGATGGTTTCATCGCAAAACAGAGCTCAAAAATTGTTACAATATTTGGCAGACTTATCTGTTAACGGTTCGTCAATCAAAGGTCAAATTGGTGTACCAAAGTTGACTACAAACCCAAATATTCCATTATTACATAACAGGGAAGGTGATGTTATTGATGTTATCAACACCACACCTCCTTCTGGATGGAGACAAGTTCTATTGGAAAAAGGTCCTGAAGAATTTGCTAAACAAATCAGAAAGTTTGATGGTACTTTGATCATGGATACAACCTGGAGAGATGCTCACCAATCTTTATTGGCTACTAGAGTTAGAACTCATGATTTAGTTACAATTGCTCCAACTACTGCTCATGCATTAGCTGGTGCTTTTGCTTTAGAGTGTTGGGGTGGTGCTACCTTTGACGTTGCTATGAGATTCTTACATGAAGATCCATGGGAACGTTTAAGAAAGTTAAGAAAGCTGGTTCCAAATATTCCTTTCCAAATGTTGCTACGTGGTGCCAATGGTGTTGCTTACTCATCTCTACCAGATAATGCCATTGATCATTTTGTTAAACAGGCTAAGGAAAATGGTGTTGATATCTTCAGAGTTTTCGATGCTTTGAATGATTTAGAACAATTGAAGGTTGGTGTTGATGCTGTTAAAAAGGCTGGCGGTGTTGTTGAAGCTACTATTTGTTACTCTGGTGATATGTTACAACCAGGTAAAAAATATAATTTAGATTACTACTTGGAAATTTCAGAAAAGGTAGTAAAGATGGGTACTCATATCTTAGGTATCAAAGATATGGCAGGTACTATGAAGCCTGCCGCTGCAAAATTATTGATTGGTTCCTTAAGAGCTAAATATCCAGAGTTACCAATTCATGTCCATTCCCATGATTCTGCTGGTACAGCAGTTACCTCCATGGCAACATGTGCTTTGGTCGGTGCTGATATCGTTGATGTTGCTACTAACTCTATGTCTGGTATGACATCTCAAGGTTCAATCAACGCTTTATTAGCTTCCTTAGACGGTGAAATCAACACTAACATCGATGCTCGTCATGTCAGAGAATTAGATGCATACTGGGCGGAAATGAGATTACTATACTCATGTTTCGAAGCTGATTTGAAGGGTCCAGATCCAGAAGTGTACGAACACGAAATTCCAGGTGGTCAATTGACTAATTTATTATTCCAAGCTCAACAATTAGGTCTAGGTGAACAATGGACTGAAACTAAGAGGGCCTACAGAGAAGCTAACCACTTATTAGGTGATATTGTTAAGGTTACTCCTACCTCTAAAGTTGTTGGTGATTTGGCCCAATTCATGGTTTCAAATAAATTGAACTCTGATGATGTTAGAAGACTAGCTAACTCTCTAGATTTTCCAGATTCTGTCATGGACTTTTTTGAAGGTTTAATTGGTCAACCATATGGTGGATTCCCAGAACCATTGAGAAGTGATGTTTTGAGAAACAAGAGAAGAAAGTTGACATCTCGTCCAGGTTTAGAATTGTCTCCATTTGATTTGGAAAAAATCAAAGAAGATTTAGAATCAAGATTTGGTGACATCAATGAGTGTGATGTTGCTTCCTATAACATGTATCCAAAGGTTTACGAAGACTTCCAAAAGATGAAAGAAAGATTTGGTGATCTGTCTGTATTACCAACCAAGAACTTTTTGGCACCTCCTGTTATCGGTGAAGAAATTGAAGTCACAATTGAAAAAGGTAAGACTTTGATCATGAAGTTGCAAGCTGTCGGTGACTTGAACAAAGACACTGGTACCAGAGAAGTATACTTTGAATTAAATGGTGAATTAAGAAAAATCCCTGTCGTTGACAAGTCTCAAAAAGTTGAAGCTGTCTCCAAGCCAAAGGCTGACGTCAATAATCCATTGCATGTCGGTGCACCAATGGCTGGTGTCGTCGTTGAGGTCAAGGTCCATAAGGGTTCGCTAGTCAAGAAGGGTCAACCAATTGCTGTCTTAAGTGCAATGAAAATGGAAATGGTTATATCTGCTACTGCCGAAGGTCAAGTTAAGGAAGTTTTCGTAAAGGATAGCGAGAACGTCGAAGCCTCTGATCTATTGATAACATTAGAAAATCCAGAAGCCGAAGCTAAATAATAATTCTTTATAAAAAATTTTATATGATACACACGTATTTGTAACTTACATTATCTGAGATAGTTAATAATTAATTAAATAATAAAATATCTGTAATTATATTCATTCATTAAGCCTTGTATTTTTATTATTATTTTATTTTTAATTTATTTCACTTGATTAAATTTACTACATAGTACAAAATCGGTACGCTAAATATAATATTACAACTCCTCAAAACCCAGGCAAGGGACCCACCAGCGAGGACACTATGGGCTTGCCATCACCTAAACATCTTTCTTGAACTACTTGCAGTGGGTTTCGTTATCCTACTGCTAATATTTGGAATCCCAGTAGCTCTAGGGTTCAACCTGGAGTTACTTTGAGCACTCCTATAAGGCGGCCTGCCGTACCTCGAAGAAGGAGGAACCCTTCTTCCAGAGATAGGAGCTCCATTCCTCCCTGTGTGGCCCATTGTCTTTTCATTTTGTTTCTGTTCTTCCAAGATCAATTGCTTTTTCAATTCTTCAACCTCTTTTGTCTCTTGCAACAACCTCTCATTCACACTCTTCCCTTCCAAATCCAAACCCAGACCTTGGGAGGTATCCATAAGCTTATGGACATAACCTGCTTGAGAATGTATATTGATCCAAGAATCCAATATCATATTCGTCGACTTACAAGTCTCTTGAATCTTCTCTAAATGACTAGGCAATGCATTCCTCAAATTGACATCTATATGCTCAATCAGTGGCACCAACTTATCCAGTACTTCAAGCTCTTTCAATAAAGACTGAGTAGTAACAACAGGCTGTCCAGCACTATTTTTTGAACTCCCCAAGTTCGATCTCATCTGATCAAACATGGCAGGAATCAATTTCTCAATATTAGACGTATCTTCCATCTTTCTGCACAGAACAAAACCTAAATCCAATGAAATACCAACCAACAATCACGAATAATCACTCTAGACACACTCAAAGCCTCTCCTTCATGCCTTGTTCATCCACCAAATCACAAATCATCATTCTATTTAATCACTACTTTATTTTCAAGATGTGTTTTTTTCACTTTTGATATCAAGAATGCCAAGTTCTAAAGACCTTTAAAAATGCATCCAATGCTGAAATACCAGCAAGAACCAACCAAACCCAGAACTAACAACACCCAATCGAGACTCCGAAGATGGGCCAATGTTTATCACCAGCTCTTGCAAACATATTCTCACTTATTTATGATAATTGAGCCACTAGATCCATTTTAGATGATGGGATTGTGACTTAGATTAAAGAGATCAAGAATCTTGAAGAACGTTTTGCAGCAATACATCAGTAATAGATCTTGATTTAAGTAACTGATACCAATATCCTCTATCCCAATGGGTAGTGCTAACACCTTTCCTTTGGATTGGTGTCACTTTCCTTTGGATTGGTTGATTGGTTCCTTTATAAGATGAAGTCTGCGATGGCTTCCTATTTAAAACACAAAAGATTTGATACTTGATAGTTTAAGATGAAGTTAATGGGATCTCAGAGCTCAACAAGTGAGAAAGGGACTTCAGAATGACTGATATATCTACTCAGGAGCTGGTGGACAAGCTTAGGAAAGGGTTTGAGGAAGAAGCAGGCGATATTGTTTCTTTGGCTACGATTATTGGTATTTATAGTGATAAAATAAGTGAACAATCAGATGAGTTGTTGAAAGTTGAGTTCTTAAAGACATTGAGCATTCAATTGCAGAAACATAGTGATGTTGTTGCTGAGCTAGGGTGGGATATACCCAGGTATCTGATTAGGTTTTGTTATTCAATTGAAGTCGAGGATGAGTCTGAGTTGGAAACGAACAAACTTCTGAATTATTTGAAAGCCTGTTTCACAGAGTTGTATTTACATGGGAATGCCAAGGAGTGTCTGCTAACAGGCTGTGAGCTGTTGTCTACAATCGATGAGACTGCTATACAAGAGTCCCTTGGCGATGCTGGTGAGATAGGGGATCAGATATACTCTGACGAGATGCCTTCGATGAAGGATAGCAAATTGTGTCTACAGTTACAGTTCGAGTTGCTATTCAACCTGATTGCAACTTCTTTAGCAAGGATTGAAACACTGTGTCCCTCTAAATTCTTGGGAATGGTAGTTTCTGCCTTGGCCAAATTCATTAAATCGAATCCTGATTTTATTACTGATAATACTCATCTATTGAAAATATTGTACAACTTCTGCGATGATTACAAGAAATGGGATTTGGAATACGAGAATGTGGAGGATAAAGAGTTGCCTAAGTCATCTTTCGACCAGATAAAGCAAGATGAAATGTCTCTACAGGAAAATTTGTTACTCACCTTATTGACAATATCAATCGATAATGTTTTTAAGAGAATTGAGAGTGGTAATGACATTAGATATTACGAAGAGGTAACAGGTAAGGAGCTCTATGAGCCATCGAATTATCAGGGTATTACTTCGAGTTCTAGATCTTTATTTTCATTATTGGAGAAATCTAACTTCAAGTTAAAAGATATTTTTGCAAAATATCGAAAAGAATCTGAGGCTATCTATGAGGCTATCGATCCACAGGAGGACAACAAAGAATTATCCCAATTAATATACCAACTGTCTTATACATATGAGTTAAAAAAAATGTCTGAGATTAAATCCATACAATTGGACCCTTTTGGCCACTTGTATTATCTGGGATGCATTATACTGCATACGACAAGAACTTAATGGAAAATTACCCATTGTGTGATTCAGTGTACATGTATTTACGTTGTCCAACAGCACCACTTTATTCTGAATCCTTCAACAACCACTTCGCAGAGAGCATCGCAAGGTACTGGATATTAGTGTCTCTGTCCACTCACAGCAAAGAGGAATTAAAACAGCAGTTGGAGAGCATACCTGGAAGTGCCAAGAACGTATTCCTACAAATGTTGTTGATAAAAAACTGCAGTCAAAGTGATCCAGGTGTCAGAACCGTCATTTCATCAGTCATTACCCAAATACTTGCTTTACTACCTGAGGTAGAATCATTCGAATTTGCAATGGATACACTATTGACATGTCCATTTATCAATGCCAAAGTGACAGTTCTAGATATTCTTAAACACTTGATGTTGGATAATTACAAAGTACTGGAGTCTACACTAATTCCAACTAAAAAACTAATGGCGGAACAAGAAGAAACAAAATCCACAAGGCCACCAGTCCCATCTTTACCACCAAGAGCAATTGTGCTAATCAACGAAGATAGAATGGCTTCAATTCATAGTTTATACATGATATGTCTCGATTCAACTACAGCTAATCCTTCTGACAAAGGTAACTTGAAACTTCTGTTAAGTTACTTGAACTTTATCATTGTGCTAAGACACAAGTGGAATGAGAATCTACTAATTAAAGTCTACGAGGACATTAAATCCAACTTCAAACCAAACTCTGATGTACCTGAGATCACATTTATTCAAATTGCTAATTCAACTTTAGAGTCTCATCTCAAAAAATCTGCCCTTACATAGATAATAGTTTAGTTAAATAGCAATCTCCATAAATTAACTGATATGAATTATATTTAATCTGCCTTCTGGATAGATTAAAGCTGAATGGAATGAACTCTTTTACTTATCTGACACTTGGACCTGACTCATTCTGTCCCAGTTATCGAACCAATTAAACCTTAAAAAGACTGATTTCTCTTATTGAAAAATTTGGTCTACTTCTAAGCATCGATATAACTTGTTAGAAAAGGGCAAGCCAGAGGTTCAGAAGGTCGATTAAGAGCAATATGAGGATGCAATCGGTTGGCCCAATGAGGTTGTTAAACCAGAGGTGGTTCCATTCGATTCGCACACCTGATATATCCCAAGTACCAGATTTTTCACATTATTCACCTATAAAGCCTGTCAATGAAGAGTTAGCTCCATTCGTTCATGACATTATGCAAGCTTACCAGCCTAGATCCAAACATGTCAACCAGCAGCATTACTATCACAACCGTACTGTGTTGTTAGATGACTATCTGCAAAAGAGTCCCCATCCTATGTCTTTGATGCAGTTGGCTCAATACTATGATGATTCAACTAAGCTTACAAAGTTGAAGATAATTAATTCAGGAAGGTTCGTGAAAGAAGAATTGTCAATCAGAATAGCACATCAGATTAACAAATTACAGCAATTGCCTTTCAGTGTGGTGAATAACTTTCATTTTGTTCAAGTATATGAATCATATTACAACATTTTTGAAAGGTTTAGGAAATATCCTAAGATAGACACAATTGAGGATACATACGAGTTTACAAAGTTTCTGTACTTGATCTTACAGGACTTCAATAGTTTGAACTTGCCTCATATGATCATGGGGGCACTAGAGTGCATTGTACTTGACCTTTACCCTCAAGATGAAATGGATGAATTGTTATCAGAACTACTAAGGGCACGTATTTCAAGACGGTTGATTGTAGAGGAACACATTGGGATCACATCAAACTACTTTAGTGGGAAACAGGAGAATACATTAGTACTGGGAGACATTTTCCAAAAATGTGAAGCTAAAAAATATCTTTTAGCAGCAAGCAAGTTGTGTGAGAACTCGATCAAGAGGATGTTCGATAAGAACATGCAAATGCCAGAGTTAGTGATTGAAGGTGTTACTGACTTGAAATTCTATTTCCTCCCTGCACATTTAAAGTACTTGTTAAGTGAGATTTTGAGAAATTCGTATGAAGCCACGATCAAAGAATATATTCGTAAAGGTCTGCCCAAACCTGATCCAATAGTAGTTACGATAATCGAGAATGAAGATTCTTATCTGTTCAGGATTTCAGACAAAGGTGGGGGTCTGTCACAGAACGACCAGAACATTTGGTCATTTGGAAAGTCCAAAGAGCTGGCCTCAGAATCACTGGATAACTTCCATAAGCTTCCAGGACTCCAGACAGTATCAATATATGACCATATATACCACGAGAATGAGACCAGTAGGTCTAGACGGTTAGTGAAATCGTTGTACCAGAACACTGCGCTGGGTCAAATGAGTCAATCGAATCTGACAAAGGGTATCTTTAAGTTTGAAAAGCCATTAGCAGGACTCCTGGAGAGACCAATAAGGTACAAACTAGGTATTGGGTTAGCTACATGTAAAGTGTATGCTGATTATTGGAATGGTGACTTGACGTTACATTCCATTCCAAGTTATGGTACGGACACAGTGTTACGTTTAGGAAATTTAATGAAGAACACGACAAAACTCCAATTGGACAAGGTATGATATAAATTTGGATAATATTAAGTTATATAGTTTATTTACCACATAAAACTGTTATTATATGTCAATATTCTCGATAATTATATTATTTTGTTTTTAGATATTCACATTAGCTTTGGTGACATTAATTGATATGCAACAAAAACGTGTCGTTGCAACTCCTAGTGAACGGGGATTTGGCATTGACTAGAAACCATACATAACAACTTAGAAGAGTTCTAGAATAAAAAATGCTCTCCATTACAGCGATACAATGACCATTCCAAGAGGGTGGTGCAAGTGTCTCAGCATAAAGTACTAAATCTGGAGATTGAGAGATAGGCAAGCGAAAGGAAATGGAATGTTCAGTAGTGATAAAATAAACTAATAAAATGATAAAACTGAAGGTAATGATACGTCGTCACTATATTAGTTTGTAAGAGTGATTGCAGTTTCTATTTAACGTTTAATATAAGTAAAGGCAAGGCACAGTGTTAACTGATATTAGTTAGAGCTTAACCATCAACACGTCGTTAGCAATGATATCTATATACAATGTAAATTTACCAGATAAAAATACATATCACGTGACACAACAGCCACGTGACCAAATACTTAATCGTGTTCCCAGTTCAACATGGAAACCAGCGATAAAAACAGTTTTGATTTGTAAGAGCAAGCAAATGTACCTTTATAATAAAGGATAACTGATTAAAATACGAGGTAAACAAGTAGCTATCAGGACAGTAGCTAGTGCAATAGAATAGTTATTGTTGGTAATTATATAATATTGTGTCTTTTCCGGTTGTTCGTTTACTGTTCAGGAGGGAAATTCGACAAAGAGCCTTTATCTGTGTTATCTAATAATTGAATCAAATAAAAATTTACAATCACATATAGTATTTCAAGATGTCAACACCAGCTAGAAGGAGGTTGATGAGAGATTTCAAGCGTATGAAGGAAGATGCTCCTCCTGGTGTGTCTGCATCTCCTTTACCGGACAATGTGATGGTATGGAATGCCATGATTATTGGCCCCGCTGACACACCTTATGAAGATGGTACTTTTAGATTACTATTGGAGTTCGACGAAGAGTATCCTAATAAACCACCCCATGTCAAGTTTGTAAGTGAGATGTTCCATCCTAATGTGTATGCCAACGGTGAGATTTGTCTGGACATTTTGCAGAACAGATGGACTCCCACATACGATGTGGCATCGATATTGACATCCATTCAGAGTTTGTTTAACGATCCTAACCCTGCGTCTCCAGCCAATGTCGAGGCAGCTACTTTATTTAAGGACCACAAGTCTCAGTACATCAAGAGGGTACAAGAGACCGTTGAGAAGTCCTGGGAAGATGATATGGAGGACATGGAAGAAGAAGAAGATGATGATGACGACGACGAGTGAAACTACCCTTCGCATGCATTATAAAAAAACCAAAAGTAACATATATAACAGCCCGCACGTATAACACAACAACTGTATACTCTATAGATACAAAGTTAGATATCGATTTATTTACAGATTTATTTAATTGATATATATATATTAGTAGATGTATAGATACGAATAAAAATATGAAAAAAAACGAAGTTACAAAACCCCAGTGGCTTGAATTCCTCGAACATCACAAGAGGTCATCGGCAATTGCCACAAGGGACACTCCTGTTGCCCACAACAGGATGAACCTGCTCAACCTATTGACACCACCAGTGGCAGTGCTGGTGGATTTATCCACGGGAAGCTTTGACTGGCCTTGAGCATACACTTTCCCCAGGTCCATCAAATCACCTTTCGATAGCCTGTGGACCACTTGGCCAGCACCAGTCGAGGCCACTGGCGAACTACACCTGAAGGTGAAGTCTCTAGGGATAGCAGGTCGCTCCAGATCTGCAACAAAGGGCAGCTGAGATCTTGGCCCATAGGACCCATACGCAATGTAGTAGCGCAACTGCTGCACGAAAACAGGAACCTGACGCCAGTCAAGACTACTGGAATGGTAATCCAGACCTTCTTGCACCAGTTCCAACTGGTCCTGAGACAGTTTCGGAAACTCACAGACCAGTCTCTTGGTCTGCAAAGATAAAGTCTTGGTATTCAAACCAAACCGACCCACTAAAATCGTATCCAATTCACCAGCTTGGAGACGGCTGCGCAGCAGCCGTCTCTTAGCACCAGAATCCTCATCCTCATCCTCCTGAGTAGAAGCACTTGGCTGAAACAACGCTTTCAAATCCTTCATTGATTCAGACACCAACTGTGCCTCCCTTGGCCCTTCTACCTTCCCCAACCGAATAGCCTGCTTCAACAACAACGATCTAGGAACTCGACAACCCATTGATGAACACTCAGCACCACAGACCCACCAAATAAACCTCCAATCCAAACCCCCAAACCTCCAAATCCAAACAAACTTGTCCTCTTTCTTATAAACCTCATCTCATCGCATCTCATTTTTTTCACTTTGGCCCAAAGATTTAATATCCGAGCTACAATAACAAACCAAAAGGTTTAAAAACAACAACAATAACAACAAGAACAGGAAGAATAGTTGTAAAAGAGGCCTTATTTGTAGTTGATTGTGGTTGATTCAGTGGGATTGAGGCCTTTGACTTGGTACAGTTTGAGTTTGCGAGGTTTGTCGAGTTTGAAGTTGGATTATAGCTGAGATTTGAGATATATTTTGTTGTTTATTTTCTTTTGATCGAGATCAAGAAATACAAAATATTATTACCTCTACAAGAAAAGGCACAATAAAGCAGAGGTCACTGTGCTATTTGTAGGTATTTAGAATAAGTATGAGGGGAATTGAGTATGATAATGGGCAACGTAGGGTCGGTGGTAGGTCTGGGGAGCTGCATCGTAAGGCTCTTAGTGATGTGACGTCTCAGGTTTCGAATAAGGTTTATGGTGGAGGTAATACTTGGAAGAGTTCAGGAAACTCTTTTAAAAACGGTGCTGCCAAGCCCTCAGGTGGGGCCAGTGCTGCAGTTGATGATACAGGGTATGGTTTCTTTGGTCCTGGTGGGGACGATTTGGTTGTCGAGGAGGATTCTTTAACTGAGGATGAAGGGCTCGATAGGTTATACTCGAGGAATATTCTGGAGAGACAGCAGATTATTGATTTGGATACGTATGCTGAGATTGTGGACGATGATCTAGAGAGTGTGGACGACCAATTGAGCGATAAGTTCGAAGGACAGATCGATGAGGACGAGGTAAACGAGGATGAGGATGAAGAGGATGATTTTGCGGAAACCGCAAATAGAGAACCTCTGTCTCCTATGCACAACGAGGAAATACAGGAAACTTTAGATGCGGCATTCAAGGAATGCTACAGGGACACTCCAGACCCCATGGATGACGACACCTACGACGTGGTGATGGTGTCAGAACTGTCAAATGATATCTTCAAGTATTTGCGTGAATTGGAACAGAGATATAAGCCAAACCCTTACTACATGTCGAGTCAATCGGAATTGAAGTGGTCATACAGAAGCACGTTGATAGACTGGATTGTACAGGTCCATGCTAGGTTCCAACTGCTGCCGGAAACTTTATATCTAACGGTAAACATCATCGACAGATTTCTGTCGAAGAAAACTGTAACTTTGAATAGATTCCAACTAGTAGGTGCAGCTGCATTGTTCCTGGCTGCAAAATACGAAGAAATAAATTGCCCAACATTGAAGGATATAGTGTATATGCTGGACAATGCATATACAAAGGACGAGATTATTAAAGCTGAACGATTTATGATCGAAACTCTAGATTTCGAAATAGGCTGGCCAGGCCCAATGTCCTTCCTAAGAAGAATAAGTAAAGCAGACGACTACGAGTATGATATCAGAACATTGGCGAAGTACCTGCTGGAAATAACCATAATGGACTCAAGACTAGTTGCTGCCCCTCCAAGTTGGTTAGCTTCAGGTGCCTATTTTTTAAGTAAAATCATCCTAGGATATAGCGACTGGACTATACAGCACGTCTACTACTCTGGATATACCCAGGAACAGATATTCCCATTGGCAACAACCATCCTAGAAAACTGTAGAGATGCCTCAACTAAACATGAAGCCATCTGGAAGAAGTATTCTGAACGTCGCCAACATAGATCTGCTCATATCGTAGCTAAATGGATAACCTTAGCAGAAAGAAAAATAGAACAATCAGCATGATGATCTACTATTTGGGTTGTCCTAAGTCTCGCAATTAACTTTTATAAAACATTGCAAACAGCGTTCTCGATAATGACCCGATCTCTTATGTAATTAAAAGGACTACCCTATCATCTTTCGATATATATAGTTAGTCTGTGTAATTATGCATTCATAAAAATCTAATCATTCACACTATTACAAGCATCTATTTGTTCCCAAGAATGTCTCTTTTTAATTTGGTCTTGCGTTGTAGTATCCTTCACATCACCTCATATAAAAAGATGGGCGGTTAAATCATTCTGTTCAAGTACATACCACTTTAGGATCGCAAGAAAGATTTTGGTGAAAGGGTAAAGATAGCAATTTAAGAAACATATTGTAACATAGTTGTTAATAAATAGTCCACTGGAGTCACTTTGGTTGTTGGTAGCTAATGACAGTTGAAGTAGAGGAACCAACTGGAAATTTAAACGAATCAGAGGCATATAACAGAGATGAGGTAATACTGTGCCTGGATATCAATAAGGATAGATTAGGATGCTCAGTTTGGGAAGAGAGTAACCACTTTATGAGGTGTTTGCCCCAGGATTACGTATTGAATTCACAGACAACTTATAATCTCCCTTCAGTAACTTTCGAAAGGCATGGGATGGGTTCAAATGATTTGAAATATACTGAAGAGATAAAGATGGTGACTGAAACGTTGTTACTTAAGTATTCGCCCACATTTTGTGTGATTTCTTCAAGAGTAGATGATTCTTGCTACGAATATATTAAATCTAAATGTGAGATATTGAACTGTACACTGGATCTTCAATCTACTGAGAAATATAAATTGAATAATGAATTTGAGAATCTGACCTTTGTAGATTCTGAAAGTTATGTTCTTTACAACAATGTATTGGATTGCTCCTCTTCTACTTCAATGGTGACAGTTAATACTATCTGTTGGATACTATCGCACTTAATAGAACAAAGCAGGTCTGAACGTTACAATGATGACTGTCTACCGCAAGATACAGTAATGAGAGGACATAGAGTAGCCGATGTTACAACTTTAGTGTTATCTTTATCCAGCATTAACGTTACAGATAGAATGTTTGTTGACAGTGACACATTATACTCACTAAATATATTACCAAGATTGATGAAATATGGAAATGATAACACGTTAGGAAACGGTTGTTTTAGTTTATTCGAGATTTTAAACCAAACATGTTCTCAACCTGCTAAACAGCTTCTCAGATCTTGGTTGGTCACTCCATTGTCTGATAAAGATCAGATAGAAGCTCGGTTCAATATAGTCGATACCTTTATTAGCAAGGTTAATGCCATTACTTTCGAAAATTTATGCTTTCATATTACGAAATGCCCTGATGTAAGTAATGTTTTTAATAAATTTATCTCAAATGGCCCATCATATATTGCTTGGAGGAGAATTAATGACTTTTTACTTAATGGTATTGAAATCCACCATTGTTTAACACTCCTAAATCATGAAACTAGGACGCAAGACATTATTGAAACTACAAAGAAGACTATAAGTACTTCTGATCTAAAGAACCTAGTCAGGGAAATAAACAGTGTCATTGACTTTGAGTTATCACAAGAAAGTAAAAATTTGGTTATTAGAGAAGGAATCGATGATAAATTGGATGAATGCCGCCAAGTATACAGACAATTAGAAGATATACTAAATTCCTTAGCTAATGAAGTCGAAGTATCCATATTCGAAGTAATATCGCAAGGTGAGTTTAACCCTGATTTGTCTAAAGATAACTTAATAAATGCGTTGTACATTCCTCAATTAGGATATTTGATTACACTTGATAATTCATTTGAAGGCTATATAGACTGTTCAGAATTATTTGGCTGGAAAGAAGTATTCAGGACTCCAACTAATATTTACTTTAAGGATGAAAGATCCAAGAGACTCGACGAAGAGTTTGGAGATATTTATGGTAATATATCTGATTTAGAGATAGACATATTGTTGAAATTACAAGAAAGAGTATTCGAAAATGCAACCTTGATACAAAATTTTAATAAGCTAATCATTGAACTTGACGTGCTATCATCTTTCGCCAGGGTCAGCATTGAAAAATCTTACATAAGACCAACGATTATAAAAGATCGATCTATTATTGATATCAAAGGAGGAAGACATCCCATTTATGAAACTTTGGTAGAAACGTACATTCCAAACGATATTAGTTTGGATGGAGGTGAATTAAATAATCTTGTCAGTACTAATAACTTGGGAAATGATTGGATTACTGGGAAAAAAGAACGAATTGCCATTATCACTGGTGCCAATGCATCTGGGAAATCTGTATTTTTAACACAAGTTGCACTGATTGTCTACTTGTCTCATATTGGATGCTTTGTACCTGCTGAAAGTGCAGTGATTGGTATAACAGATAAAATATTATCTAAAATCCAAATGAAAGAATCTGTTTCAAACCAACATAGTTCATTTGAATTAGATTCTAGACAAGTTGCCAAATGCATCGTTCTTGCGACAGAAAGAAGTCTGATACTTCTCGATGAGTTTGGAAAAGGCACTGACATCAATGACGGACCTGCCCTATTTGGAGCATGTCTGAAAAATCTGGCACAACAGAAACACTGTCCTAGAGTTTTAGCATGTTCCCATTTTCATGAACTTTTCAAAGATCATATAATATCTCCTAGAAGTCATGGAATTAAATTTTACTCGACTGAAATACTGTTAAACAGATCCAATAATAAATTAACTCCCAATGTCGAGAACTTCCAAGAGAATGAAGGTATAACGTTCTTGTATAAATTAAAAGAAGGCATTGCAAACCAGTCATTTGGAATTTATTGTGCCTCTGTTGCAGGTATCGATAATGACATTGTCAAGAGAGCCTACAAAATAAAAGAAATGATGGATAATGGGTATAATTTAGTAGATTATTGTGGAGAAATAACAAAGAAGGAGTTACAACAATTTCAAAAAAATCAAAATATTGTCAAGAAATTTATTAGCTGGGACTTAGATATCGAATCAACAGCATCCAAAGAGTTGCTTAAATCGAAGCTAACTAACATGTTACATGAATCTTCAGATGACTTATTCCAAATGTAATTCTTAAAGAACATATAAATGTCTATATCTATTGCTACTATTATACAACTTGAGAAATATTTTGTTTTTTATATAATACCTAAATGATTTCAAATAATGCATTAATTTCAGTTTCTGAATTTAACAGATCTTGTCAAATTCTTCTTAATACCTGTCTTTTCACCTTCGTAAGCACCAGATTGGCCACCAGAATATACTGCACGTACAGACTTCAACTTCTTTTGAGCCTTCTCGTACTTCTTTCTCTTCTTTACACGTGAGTTTCTGTTATCCTTCTTTCTCTTTGGCGTTAGACCCTTGTTCTTCAAGATTTGGTAGTTGATAGCACGCTTACCACCATCACCCAATTCTTCAGCCAATTCAGCCAATTTACCTTCTCTTGCTGCCTTCACTGCATCTTTATGTGTTTGAGCACGGTGTGATTTTTTATCAGCTTTATTCTTTTGTACTTGAGCATAGTAATCTTCCTCAGATGACTTATTGATTGACTTAGATACACGTTCGTCATCAGAGTCGGCATCATTATTATCTAAATCAGCACCATGCTTATCGTGCATACCACGCCTACGAGCTTCTTCAAGCAGCCTTTGTTGCCTTTCAAATAGTCTTTCTTTGTATGGAATATCATCATCACCTTTGAATTTGTCAGCTTTCTTTCCTGCCTGTTGATCAATTTTAGATGTATAGAAACGTAAGGTTTTCTTTCTTTGCTTCTTCTCATGTGCATCGACTTCTGTCATTTCAGTTTCAATAAAATCGTCAATATCTTCATCGTTCTTGGATTTATTTGCTTTGTTCTTGGAGATACGGGATTGAGCAACGTATTCTTCAAAGTCGTCCAAATCTACATCTTCTTCTTCCTCATCCTCCTCCTCTTCTTCTTCGTCAGAACCTTCGTCAGAATCATCTTGATCATTCAATTTTTGTTCCTCATCTGAACCTACATCAACATCTTCTGCACCGGCAGCTTCAGTATTTACATCAGAATCTTGGTCATCTTCAGCATCGAAATCAGATGGTAGTTCTGAAGCTTGTCTCCAGACTTCTTTAGAGGTCAAAATTGATTCCATCACTGGGTGATCCTTCATTGTAACAGATTCATCATTGTTGTTCAATTCAAGTAATAAAATACTGAAATAGGACGAAATTGTAGCCAAATAACTTGATAAAGCCATGACCTTAATCTTTACGAATTCAGTATCATCTTGAGATTTCAACATTTCAAGAACCGGAGAGAGTTGTGATAATTCCTTGGATAAAGGCAAGAATTCAGGAAACATAGTCTTCAAGTAATTTATCTTTGCTTCATCACTCATATTTTTGATATCGCTAATAGTGACGTTTTGATCAGACTGTTTTGTAGTATCTCTGAATTCACCCATATCAAACTCTTTAGCACTCTTGGCCCACTCTTCTTCAACCTCATCATCTAAATAATCTTCCATATTCAAATCTTGTAAATGTTTCTTCTGTTGACGAAGAGCTTCTTTCTCAATTTCCTTAGCTGCCTCATCGTCTTCGATCTCATCAGCACCATAGTATTCACCCTTGGTAGACCCCCAGGCAGTGTCATTTTCCAACATACCGCCTGCTTCTTCTTCATCACCACCATCTTCAACCCCTGTATCAAGTTTTCTACCAAATACTTTCCTATAAGCAGCTGCCCCATCTAATTCTTCTTCTTCTTCATCGCTACCGGATTCATCATCTGAAATCCCCATAACTTCCTCCTCTTCATCATCAACATTCAAACCATCCTCATCATCGTATGCATCACCACCTCTACCACCTAAACTAGACTGTTCAAGAAGAACCTTCTCTCTCTTGTCAGCAAAATCATCAATTTCAGTCTTACCATATGGACTATCTTCAACTCCAGAACCACGAACAGCCCTGCCACCGTTTCTTCTAGCCATCTCCTCGGTTATTTAAATATAATTCAATATCCTAACAACTTTAACGACCTATCTAAACCTTATTCACCAACTTTTATATCCAATATAATCCAGAAACCTGCAAGAGATGACCTCTGTTCTTATGGTATGTATTACCATCTTTAAAATTTTTCACTTGCGATGCCCATAGTAAATTTTTCAATTTTAAAAGTGAAAAATTATTTGATATTTAATGATGATTCTTGATTAAAGATTGACGTCGACAGGAGCAAAGCACTGTTCAGAGTTGTATTTAGAGGTATCATTCGATTCTGTGAGTGGTATTTGTTATAATTGAAGGTTTGTTTTGTTTTAAACAGGTTTCTGGTTGCTGAGATCAGGGATTAGGATTGATTTGTTATAGAAATTTGAGAAATGAGCAGTGGATCAGGATCAGGATCAGGCAGGTTGCCATCATTGAGTAGTGGTAGTGGTAGTGGTAGTGGCAGTGGTGCTGGTAAACCATCTTTGAAGTTCAAACCTAAGGCTGTTGCGAGAAGGACTAAGGAGGAGAGAGACGCTAGTGCTCCGAAGGTAAATGAAGAGGCTAACTCTCATAATAATGATAAGAAGAAGCCTGGTATGAATCGTAAGCCTGGAGGTCAACAGCAGAGGAGAGTTCCTAAGTATCTTGCAAACACTCATGTTATTACCAGTGGTCCGTTGGCAGCTGGTAATTTTACAGGTGGTGGTAAAGATATGATGAGGAGAAATTTTGCAAAGTCTGATACCTATGCTAATTCTATGAATAAAGGTGACGACGAAGATGCATTGGTTAGTGGTATCAATAAGATTAACATGGGTAAGGAATATTCTATAAAGAACAGCAGTGAGAGCGATTCCACTGAGGAAAGTTCAGAAAATGAAGGGTTCGCCAACAGTATGGGTGAATTGTTCCCAATCACTCCATTGCGTATTAAACATGAAGATGTCGATGGATTACAGAGAGAAATTACTACTGAGACGTTGCATGAAGAGCCAGCTCCAGTTCCAACTCCTGTCGCAGAAGAAACTCCTGCTGTTGAAAAATCTGTCAAGATAGAAACAGATGCAACCGGGTTGAATGAAACACTAGAGGCAAGAGAAACGTTGCTAAAGGAAAAACTTAAATTGAAATCCAAACACGTTGAATTAGAACCATCAGATCCTATGGGTTTACAGAGCGAAAATAAGACAATGAATGACGATTACGAATATATCAGCAACAAACTAGTGTCACTGGAAAAGGATGCCTATAAATATTTATTGTTCCAATTACCACCAAAGTTGCCTATGTTTACAGATGAAACTGAAACCAAAAGTGAAGAGACTGAAGGACAAGATGTAGAGATGAAGGAACAAGAAGAAGCAAATGAAGATGAGGAAGTAGAAGGAGAAGAAAAAACTACTGAAGCAAAGACTAGTGAAGAAAAATCTACCAAACCAGCAAAACCTGAAATAATAAAACTGGAAACGTCCAATCCAACAGGTAAAATTGGTTTCGTCAGAATACACAGATCTGGTAAGATGACAGTTAAGATAGGGAAAGTAGTTATGGATATCGGCAAATCAGCAGAAGCTACATTCTTACAAGAACTAGTCGCTCTCGATGATTCAGAAGAGTCTCCATCGGTAAGAGTATTGGGTCAAGTTGAAGGAAGAGTCGTCGTCACCCCAAAACTAGAACTCTAGACCTATAGAAGTCCGAGTATCCATATATATAACCGATGTATACATGTGTATATCCATATAAACCTGCATTGAATGTAATAGTTAAGAACACTTTCACCTGTCCTGTGCTGTCGTTGACCTTCCTGAAGAAGTGGAGGGAAAGGGAGCCACATGTATCTAATAAATAGGAAACACTTAATATTAAAATTCTAAAGCATAATGTAGTATGCTTTGAAGGTTGACGGTTGTTCTTGTAGTGTCATTGCTCCATTGGCAATTGCAGACTTATATTACAATATATACCGGGAATTAGCAGCGCTACCATAGTGTGTCCGGGTACCCCTGAGATAAAGGGCGATATCAAAGGGTTTTTAACGATGATTTTGAGTTTAAAGCTATAAGAACAATGAATTGATACAAGGCAAAGCAAGAATACAAGGTCAATAAGAGTGCCAAAGCTGTTATAATGGGCGATTCCGAAAGTGTTAATCAAGACCATGGACGAAATACATTTTTGTCCCGAGTTTTTGGGTTACAACCTGATGATATAACGACTTCTATTCGAACTGGTGATATGAGTCGGTACCCATTGAATGCTTATAGTGGCGGTTCCGAGATGTTTAGTGGGTCTCCAACGTCTAGTAGGATTGATGATGATGATGATGATGATGAGGGTCGAGTTCCTGAGTCTGATCAACAGTCGAGCTCTGGTGATAATTCTGACGACATAAAGGCCAACGATGACGTGATAGAGGATGTCGAGTTAACTGATGGGAATGGAGATAATTATACCAATTCAAAGATGATCAATACTAATTACAGCATATTTGGTTCTCTACGGAAGGTAGGGCAGCAGTCTAGTGACGAGGAGGATGATGGGTCTCTTTCCAATGAAGAAGAGGATATTGATGAAGAAGACGAAATCGATGAAATAGATGCAGATGAGCCCTTATTTGTTAATTCTACTTCTCAGCGTAAGCAAAAGAGGAAATCAAGTGTTAATTTTAAAAATGGCAGTGAAATGTCTTCCCTATTGTTTCAGAGGATTTTAAACAAAAAAGACAGTAAGTCAAATGGGGAAGCCTCAAATAAAATGTTCACATCTTCTAATCAAGGAAATCATAACTATAAATACAGAAACGGGCATGATTTGGAAGGAGGTGTACATTTTAACAAGAAGGAAGGGAGAAGAAACTCATTATTTGGTAGCCATGAAGCTGGAGGTCATAAAAGTCATAATTCTGCTCCTTCAAAGGGTCCAAACTTGTTGAAAAATATATCCATATTGAACAATACACCTTCAAATAAAGTCTACACATTAAGTCCAAAGGAACGAGCACTTTGGAAATGGGCAAATGTGGAAAACCTCGATGTTTTTTTGCAAGAGGTTTACAAATATTATCTAGGTAGTGGATTTTCTTGCATTGTATTGCGAAAATTATTGAATCTAACAACGCTGATTTTTGTTGTATATATATCGACCTATCTGGGTTACTGCATAGATTACTCGAAGTTACCAACAAGTTCTAGATTGTCAGATATAATAATCGATCAATGTTACACTACGAGGATAACAGGTATTACTAAAGGCCTATTATGGGTTTTCTACGTTTTCGTAGGTTTAAAAGTTGTACAATTTTATTTTGATTTACAAAACCTTACAGACATGCATAATTTTTACAATTACTTACTGGGAATATCAGATAACGAATTGCAAACAATTCCTTGGCAAAACATTATCCAGCAGCTGATGTATTTAAAAGATCAAAATGCATTAACAGCTAATGTAGTAGAAGTCAAGGCAAAAAATAAAATCGATCCATTGGTAGTGGCAAATAGAATAATGAGAAAAGACAACTATTTAATTGCATTGTACAATGAAAATATACTAGATCTGTCATTACCAATTCCGTTTTACAAAGAAAGCATTTTAACTAAAACTTTGGAATGGAACATCAACCTTTGTATTATCGGATTTGCATTTAACGAATCTGGTTTCATTAAACAATCTTTTTTAAAGAAATCTCAGCACCAATTTATTACTGAAGAATTAAGGAAAAGATTTATGTTAGCTGGATTTCTAAATATAATATTATCACCATTTTTAGTGACATATTTCGTTTTACTATATTTTCTTCGTTATTTCAACGAATTTAAAACTTCTCCTGGAACAATAGGTGCTCGTCAATATACCCCAATGGCAGAATGGACATTCAGAGAATTTAATGAACTCTATCATATATTCCAAAAAAGGTTAGGATTAAGTACTGTCATAGCAGATAAGTACATAAACCAATTTCCAAAGGAATCTACAGATCTTATTCTGAAGTTCATTTCATTTATATCAGGGTCATTCGTTGCAGTTTTGATGTCACTAACTCTGCTAGATTCAGAGAACTTTCTTAATTTTGAAGTTACAAAGGATAGAAGTGTCCTATTTTATATCACAGTTTTTGGTGCAATTTGGTCGGTTTGTAGAAACTCTATATCTGATGAATATAAAGTTTATGATCCTGATGAAACGATAAAAGAATTATCTGAATTTACTCACTATTTACCAAAAGAATGGGAGGGTAAACATCATACTGAAGATGTCAAGCAGGAGTTTTGCAAACTTTATAATATTCGTCTTATCATATTGTTAAGAGAATTAGCAAGTTTGGTTTTAACACCATTTATCTTATGGTTTTCGTTACCGGCATGCAGTGATAGAATTGTCGATTTTTTTTCTGATTCCTCAACTTATATTGATGGATTAGGATATGTCTGCAAGTATGCTACCTTTGGTATCAACCAAGCAAATGCTCAAAAAGTAAAAGGGGGGAAACGCCATCAAGATATGAAAATGAATACGAATAATTTTTCAAATGAGGTAATTAATGAAAGTGATGAAGATGTTCTTGATAGTGACTCTGACTCAGAAATAGATTCTAATGATAAGATGATGCGTTCTTATATGTATTTTATGGAAGATTATGAGAATTCAGAGAATGCGATAGGTAAAAATCAACTTCCTCGAAAAAAATATAAAGATCCATCGCTAACGAACCCAAGTTTGAATACAGATTATTCATGGAGAAAGCAATTTCAACCTGGACAACGCCCTGAGCTATTCAGGATAGGTAAGCATGCCTTACAGGTTCCCACTAACGTTAGAAATTTAGGAAAGAAGAGTACTTTAAACTCAGAGAATCCTTATGACAATTCTTCAAACCTTGGAGAATCCTTCATTAATCCAACCATAATGCCAGACCGTGATCTGGGAAGAAATGGTGTGAATGGGGGTAAAAAAGAAGCTGGTATGCTGAGAATGGTTAAAGATTATTACAAAACATCGGATATAGGAAGGTAAGGATATAATGTATGTGTCTCATGCTTTGTATATATGTATGTGTACATGTCAGTATACATACATATATATATATATATATTATTTATTATGTATTAATGTTAATATTTTGCATTGTTTTAATTATGTCTCTTGTTAAGTCTAGATGTCATATGCTTGAAGATTACAAAATATGCGTCAATTTAAAATTTAACCATCCTAAATCCTACACAAGTGTAACGGGCTAGAGAGTAAAACACACCGGCTGCAATCATTAGCATTGAACTAAAGATAATAAAGTTATTGTAGCTTCTGTCACTTTCTTCACCGATAATTGCACCACAAATTGGAATAACTGGAATAGTCATCAAACCTTCAGTAAACCAGACAGTAGAAAATCTTCTACCGAAGTCACTAGTTCTAGAAATTTGACCAACGCATGGTGGTGCCAAGGACAATACCGTACCTGAGAAGAATCCATAAATGATGGTGTATGCCCATAGACCCTTAGAGTTACCACCAAAAGGTAGCCAAATAATTAAGTTGACAAATGCTGCAATAAAAATTGTAATAATTGCAATGTTGAATCTTCCTACCCATCTGTCAGCTAAGTATCCTGGAATGTATCTACCAAGGATGCCAATTGCATTGATTGCTGTTAACAGAGTGTATGAAGTGCTTTCTGAATTTCCTTTAAAGATTGCGTAAGATGCCAAATATGTAGATGTCGCAGTAAGAGAATTTTCAGCAAAGGCACTTGCCAATGCAGTGAAGAGAAATCTAGGTTCCAAAAAATATCTCCAATTCAAAGAAGAGGTTAGGTACCATACAATCATTTCCTTTTTAGAACTGAATGGCTCGGTTACTGGCTTTTCTCTTTCACGAGCCAAAAATGATGAACAGACTAGACAGCAACCACATATTAATGCAAAAATTCTAATTGCCCATTCGAATCCTACTTCACCATACAATTTTCTTAGCATGATTGGGAAGATGACACCACCAACAGAACCACCTATAGTGGCAATACAGGTTGCAATGCCTCTTTTCCTTAAGAACCAGGTAGCGACACTTCCCACTAATGGAGTAATCAAGAAACCTGAACCTAGCCCGCAAGTGACAGAGAATGCTAGCATAAATTGCCAAACAGTTGTACAATTTGCAGTTGCCACTAGTCCACTTAAGAATAGAATAGAACCAATAATATGTGGGTAAAATCCACCATTTCTATCGAAATAGCTTCCTGTTAAAATTGTTCCAAAACATGTCACTGCCAAGAAAATGGAAAAAATCCATGAAGTTGTTGATAATTCTACGTCTGCCAATTGATGCGATTTAATATAGGATTCCAAAGCACCTAATGAGTTAAAGATACCATAAACAGGAATTAAACCGACGAATGAGCCGAATACTACAAGCCAAGCTTCCCAACCACCATCTGGTATGTTATCATCATGTTCCATTACCCATTCTTCATCGGCGGAATCGTCTGTATTTGGGCCAAGTTCAGTACCCGTTTCAATAATGGAACCCTTGTCTTTCTCATCACTAGTCAATATACCAGCTTTACGAAGCTCATGTTCAACTACTGGAGTCGAGTAACCGTGACTAGAGCTCGCGACTTGATTTGGATGGCCCATGCCTTCCATAAAATCGAACTCTACGTCATCTCCTGCTTTTTTAGATTCTTTTGATTTATTTAATTTAAAGTTGGTGAAGATATCAGCACCCAAGTTTAGACTCTGTAATCCAACCATTATGGATATATTTATTGTAATATCTGTCTTCTCAAGATTTTACGGAAATTAATAAAGATCTAACTAACAGATTTCAAATTAAACCATTTAAGTTCTGAAAGAAAATATCTTTTAAGATTATAGTGTTTATATAAATAATGATCTTGATATTTTTGTATGTCATAATATAATTAAATACAATTGAGATTGAAACCGTGGTACCCTAATTAACAATTTTTTTTCAGTTTCATTGCTAATTTGTCAACCTCAATCTTGCCAATGAGTAATACCAGGATAGCCATATATAAAATGCGATGCCCCTAAAAAAACTATGCACAACATTTCCGAAGTGACAGCATAGAATTTACAATCTTTAACTCTAGTCGAATATTTCTCAAACGAACTCTCATGTTAACGGCAAGTGTAATCTAATAACTTAGCATAAATTGTTACTCAATCAATAAAATTTGAGAGATTGGAGTGGACGCATCTTAACGTTCCAAGCTCGACAACTTATGAGGTTACAATAATTAACGGAAATTCATAGCGTATTTGATAATGAGATATAGCTCGTTACTTTTCCTCCTTCGATAGATTTTTTTTTTTCGATTTATCCCAAAAATTCCAATGCAATATAATTAACTATGCATGGAAGTCGAGTCTCTGTGATCCTGTTACAACTGTTAAATAATTTCTTCAGCTTCTTGTTTATTCCAGAAGATCTTGTCACTAGAATTGAACAAAGCCAGTTGGTGAATTGCTTCATTTGTCACTCGAACAATTGTTGCCAGAGGTTATTTCCTATGTGCAAAAAAAGAAATGTGACCTTTTTGTTAATAAGTTTCTTTTTCTACTCGAGAAATGAAAAGAAACGTTTGGGTAACAAAAGTGCGTACAACAACTTACTTTTGAAGGATAAACACAAAAACAAAATATTTTTTTTGCCTGAAAAAAGAAACAGCAGAGAGAATGTAGATTTCGACAAATCGATTTCCTATTTCAGACATACCGCTACCGGCTGTAATATTTAATTGATAGCGCCATGCATATTGGCATATTTGATATAAAGCTAATCAATTCATCGATATCTTGACTCAATACCTTTGAAATAGACTTGTTTTAAGCATTAAAAACTATGAATTGCTGATAAAGTTGAGTTTTATTATATGATACATGATGGGTAAAGGGTTATAATTTCCTACCTATCAACCTATAAATATATATAAATGTATTTACACATACTTTTATATTGATAATACCTGTATAAATGAAGGTGGATTTGATGCACTGGATTATTATTTCTTGGAATTACGAAGTTTCTTCTCTCTTTCGTATTTGTTCTTTTCAGCACCTTCTTCAGTACTGATGGTATTGATAATACGAGCCATCTTGGCGTGGTATTCTTCTGAGCTCTTCTTTTGTTGGTTGATTCTTTGTCTTGCTTCGAATCTGGTATCTTTACGCATTTCTTTCAACATGAACTTACGTTCTTTCTTCACTTGTGCCTTCATCTTGTTGATTTCACTTCTTGTTCTATCTGGATCGTAAGACTTCTTGTCTGGGTTGAAACTTTCTTCGAATTTAGGAGCATGTGATGGGATCGATGCTGGTTTGTGGTCTTGTAGAGTCAATGGAAGATGTTCATTGAATTTGGATAATTTCTTTATTTTGTCCAAGATTTGAGATGATAACGTTAGTTCTGGGAATTGTTCAACGTAACACTCCAAAATTGGGGTCAAACTTAACATTAACTCTTGATATGCTGAAAAATTCTTCCAAATATCAGTAATAGCCATATTAATTGTGCCCAATAGATTTAGTAACAAAGTCTTCTGCAATTCAGCATTTGACTCTTCACTTCTATTTTCTTCAAATATTCTATGAAGTTGTATAGATTCAGAAATGAATCCATCTAATTTAGTATCATTAGGTAAAGCTAATTCATTTGAGTCAACTCTAATTTGTATGTTTTCATGTTCTGGAAGCAATGAAGTCAATGCCTTCTCAACAAAATATAATAACTCTGGAACCAATCTCTTAGAAAGACGTTGGTATTTCAAAATGATTTTTGATAAAGTGGCACCAAATAGTAATCTATCAATTGAATTGAACTTAAGTTGTTCTAACATTTCTGCCATTACAACAGAACAAGGTGTCACAACAAGATGGTATTGATCAGATGTTGAATAAATCATACCAATTATGCTAAAGAATATTAAATCAGAAATTTTGATCTTTGTCATACTTCTAGATTTAAATCTTTCATGTATCTCTGTGGTTATCTCACGACAAGTCTCAGATAGATCTCTGTTGTATTTTTCAGATAATGTTTTCAAAACCGAAATTAATGAATTTTGTACTTCCTTGAATGTCGCAATATCTTTAGAATAGTTTTGATCAGCTAAAAATAAGATGTGTCTCAATAATATTCCTGTGAATCTACCTAATCTTTCCTTATTACCTTCTGCTAGTTTCGGTTGAGTTGCTTTGACAATTTTCCTAATAAGTTTTGGCTGTTCTTCTAACTTGAATTTATCGAAATGTAACAATAGTTGTTTATGAGATGATGGACACGTTGTCGAAACCGATTTATGACCTTCTTCATCGCTATCATTTTCAAACTTGATATCATCATCTGAGTCGGCGATGGATTCATTATCTTCACCCATTTCATCTTCTTCCTCACTTCCCCAGAAGTCGTTATCTAAATCTTCAACACCTCTTTCTTCACCTTCCTCATTTTCGACTATACCATTCATTCTATCTAATCTTTGTTGTTCTAGTTTCTTCTTTTGAATTTCTTGTTCAGTTAGAATTTCTTCTTCAGTCTTTGTTCTATCAGTTGGGACAGCTCTTTTTTCCATGAGCAATTCCTTCACTTTAACATCATAGTCTTTATCGACAGTAGGCTTCTCTTCATTATTGTCCTTCTTTTCAACTTGAACACCTCTTAATTCCGACATAATATCGTCAAAGTTATCATCCAGATCATCAATTTGAACCTCCATTTTTTCATGGGCCTTCTGTCTTTCATGCTTATAGAACTTGGATTTAGCAATAACTTCTTTCATTACCTCTGCTTTAGTCTTCTTTCTTGCTGGGCCCAAATCATCACCCAGGGCACCTCCATCAAGGGAACGCTTCAAACCATCACCGTCATTATCTGAACCAACACCTAAATCACCGCTGTCAAATCCTAAAGATTTACCCATATGTGTCAAACTATTACCAAACATATCATTACCAAAACCTTCATCTTCATCTTCATCTAGATTGAAAAGGTTTTGCTTCTTCTTTGATTGTGCCTGTCTTTCCTTAGTGAAACGTTCCAACATTTTTTCTTCTTCAGTCATGTGCTTGTTCTTTTCACCAAAACGTTTATCCATAAAGGCACCAGTTCTGTTCTTTGTCGAATTCTTCATCTCCAAAGCAACCTTTCTCTGCTCTTCACCAATCTGTTTAGAGATACCTGGTTTCCCTACTGCAACCATTTTATCTTTCTCATTCTTAACCATATTGTTCTTCTTGTTTTTGGATGCCTTAACTTCAAAGGGATTGAAATCCTCTCTAATCTTGGCCAAGATTTTAGCCTTTTCTTCACGATCATACTCTTTAGCTTGTCTCTTTGAATTTTTCTTATTCTTTTTGATATTGCTTTGGCCTGTCAAACCATGAGCCTTTAAAGCCGCCTTCAAATTCTTCAACTGAGACCCAGCCATCTCTACAATTTCTTCACTAATACAGCTCTGATATGTCTATCGGCACCAGGACTCGTAATCCTAACCAAGACCCAGAAACCTTAGATCAATCCAACTTTTATACTTTTATCCTACAATCTTAAAGCTCATCTCATCGCATCTCATCGAATTTCGAGTTCGAATTTTTCCAAAAAGTTTTTCACTTTATTATGGCACGCAACGTATTTAGTGATGTTATTTCGAGATGATGAGAAACGTCATAATTACCAGGCAATGGACGTATATCAGACATCAAATAATGTTAATCCAAGTCATTTGAAGGTCTGTTTTGTGTGTCTAAACATTAAACAATACGTTTAAATCTCTATTCCCATCTTCAATTGGCATTTTAGCCCTTCTCTATACCATTTTCCGTTGCTTACATATCCACTTCTCAGATATAAAGTGCTAAAACCAGCACAATTGATTTAGCTATAGCATTGACTCTTTTATTTTATTTTATTTTGGGCAGGTGTAAATATGGGCTATTCTGTACACTCAGGGAGGAAATCCCAGGATCCTAACCAGTTGGAGGCAATTCTTGCAATGAATCTTTTCATGAACTTGACGTTTAATTAAATAAATACGCTTTCAATTGGGATAATTTACACCCAGAGAAACTATATACATATATATATATATCCTTTCTTTGCATGTTATAACCCATGTGTTAAAGTGATGGTTTTCTTTTATAGAAACAGCTTAATTTGTACTTTACTTTCTGATAAATGAATTATCGTCGGCGGCTAAAATTCACCTTTTATCCTAAAGGGCGGGTAACAGAATGACACCATATATATAAAAGGAACCGTCACTCTAAGAACTTTCCTCATTTCTTATTCACCACTGTCTCCAGGATAAGAATTTAACAATGAAAACTATATCAGAGAGGTCAGGGAGTACACTAGGGTGCTGAGATGTTGTTTAAAGTAGGAAGGTTCAGTTTGGTTGGTTTTAATGGCATTGCTTATTAGTGGACATAAGTGGAGTAAAAGTGACAGTCGATCTTTTGAATGATTGCACTGAAGCCAAGAAAGGAGAGGCAAGAAAGGAGAGGCAAGAAAGAAACGGTATTTGATTTATTCCAAGCACTCTGGATTAATGAAACCAGTGTCATTTAATAGATGAAATTACCGGGATCATAATTTGTCCAGAACGGTTTGATTAGTTGATAAGTTCTATGATTATAGAGTGGTTTCCTTATTTTTCTTTCCAGAAAGTCATTCTGAAATAGACCATCCAAAATTATCTTCAAGTCATATAAGTATGGATGCTGTGACTGAAAAATCAGTTGTTCTATGCTTCAAGATGGGTTTATCTCCCATAGTTTTGGAAGAGTCAAGTACTAGGATTATCCATTTTTATGAATCGATCACGTGAGAAGGCATCGTTATTCACGTGACATACCGTTTTAGGTTAAAATGAAAATTTTCACCTTTAACAAAAATTTGTGGAATGAGATGAGCTTACTTCAATGGCAATGGAAATAGTAAAGCCATCACATATATTAAATGGAATAAGTTACAATTTTAGTTATATCTTGGTTGAAAAGCCTTGAAAATTGCAGGTTTTTTTGCACAATCAATCAGGAACTTATATTTGAAGGAATCACTCGTATAAATATCCATCTTACCGTCGAAAGAAGAATAGAATATTTTGAGATGAGCAATTCATTAGAAGAACGTCTACGATCAAATTCTAATGCCTTTGATGGTCTGCTTTGCTTGATTCCAGCTAAGTATTATTACGATGATGCTACCAAAGATCAATGGAAGGCAAAGAAGAAGTCCAAAGAGCAGCAGAGATCTGACAAGATGAGCAAGTTGAACCCAGATGATGAATCAACTGACGATAAGTTGACTGCTCTTCAAGTGCTGGAAAAGAAACAGAAATCTGCTAAACCTGTTGTTTTACCAGGTGAAAAGTTTAAGAAAATAAAAGAGCAACAAGAAGCTAAGAAGACACAACAAAAGCAAGGAAACGTAAACTCAAATGCGGATGATGATGAAGAAGAGGAAGAAGAAGAGGTAAATGTGATATTTGATGATGATGGAAATGAAGTCAAAGATTCAGATGCAAGCATATCAGATTCAACTGAATCTAATGAAGCTGAAACTGCTGAGATGGAAACCCCAGTTGAAAATGTCAAGAAACCAGAACCTACAAATTCAAAGAAAGAAAAGAAAGCAGTGGGTGAAAACGATAAATTAAAGAAGCAGAAAAACTTGGATAATTTACGTTCTATCCTTCAATCAAGAATTCAACAAATGAGAGAAAAGAGAAAAGCTCCAGGTACTAGAGTTGACGGTGCCCCAAGTTCAAGAGAAGCTATCTTAGAACAAAGAAAACACAAAGCTACTTTGAGAAAAGAGAAAAAGGAGATAGAAAATACTAACAAAAGTGATTCTGAAGATGATGATGATGAAGAAGATCTTGATGATATCAATGACGATATTGATGATGATATCACTTCCCAAAGTTCCAAAAAACGTAAAATGAATGATCATTTGGCAAAGGATATCATGTTCCAAAATATCGAATTCGATGATGGTGACAGAGCAACTTCTGATTTACAACGTATAAGGAAGGCCCCAAAGAATTCAGGTCCTGCCAAGAACGATATAAAAGCACATCTAAAGTTATTAGAAGCCAAGAAGAATAAATTGGAGTCTAAAGATGAACTTGAACAGATAAAACTGAAAGAAAAAGAAAAATGGCAAAAAACAATGTTACTAGCAGAAGGTGTTAAATTAAAGAATGATGAGAAATTATTACGAAAGGCATTGAAGAGAAAGGAAACTAAGAAAAGAAAGTCTGCTATAGAGTGGAAAGAACGTCAAAGAGCTGTATCTGCTACTATCTCAGAAAGACAAAAGAGAAGAGAAGAAAACTTACAAATTAGAAAAGACAACAAAGGTAAGAAGAGATCTAAACAACAAAAGATGAAACGTAAATATACTGGTACAGTAGCCGCCAAATTACCAAAGAAGCAAAAAAGAGCCGGTTTTGAAGGGCAAATAAAATCTGGCATAAAGAAATAGTCATCGTTAAATCAGGTAGTTTAATCCTATAAAATTAACACACCCTCACCCAAATCATTATGTATTTATAAACTTAAGCATATGTATACCTATATATATGTACATGATAAAAATATAATTCAGTACATTATCTCTAAATTTTTACAATAACTTTTCGTTATTCAGCAATTTTGAAATATAAGTCATAGTGAAGCTTGCATCCTGGATTGAAATGTGCATGACATTTTGGACAGGAAAGCTTTGAATCACAGAATTCACTATTTCTATACTCATCAAACGTCATAGCATACTTGCAAACTCCACATAAAATCACTTTCTCTTGACAATTCCCATTAATAGTATAACGTTCAACTTCATGAGTAACCAATTCTTGATGACATGTATAGCAACAGTAGTAAGCCTCACAGCATTTGAACTTCAATGCAATTACATCTAGTGGAGAGTGCCAATGTACACATCTAGACTCGTTATCAACCGTCTTCCCCTTGATAATGTTTAACTCTTCCATGGTTGATTCATTCCATGGTGGTCATATGGTGGGTGCTGTTGATTGATCCATAATGAAGTAACTAACTTGCCAATTTTTTATTCAAAGCGATGAGGTCATGTTAAGCTACAAAAGTACTAAAGAAGGATGTTCAAAGAAGTGATCAATGGCCTAAATGTATCGACCAAGAGGTATTAATTACCCAATAAAGAATTACAATATATTTAATGTAAATTCATTTGGTTCAAATTCAAGTGCTTTTTGTTATCATGGTGATTAATATGCTTCAATCTGTTCTATTCTTATTCTGTCAAAAATATATATAATTATCAACACTACAGAAAATAAACTAACTCAGTAAACTAGTTCTTTATGCTCGAAACTGCAAAATCCATGTCAGATTTAGACAGTTCAATTAAAGCATTATTCAATTTCTATAATATGTGGGAAAATTCTAATGATTTATAGTTCTGAAACATTTATTGTTTTAATTTAAATTACAGGAAATATATGAAAATGAACCAATATTTAGATTTATGCACACTATATCAAAATGTATTTCAAATTGATAATGGAAATATAATGTATAATGTTTAGAAATATATGAAAATGTGCTGAAATGACTTTGGAAATTATGAAATGCTTAGAAATACACTTGAAAAAAAATAATAATATCATTGGTAACAATGATTTTTAATTTATCTTCTATCTTAATATTATAGTATACCACTTTTCTTCAAGTTTTGCTGTATTATAAGGTCTGTGACTGCACTCAACACAAATTTCATTGTTTGAGTATCAGTGGCACAAGTTCTCTTCACATATATAGGTTTATTCGATCGGTTTAGACTTAAGAAGATCTTTTCAAAATATTTTATACCTGCTTCTGAATCACCTAGACGACCTTGGTAATCTGGGAAATATTTTCTTATTGGAACCTTTCTAACCTTTTCTTCAAATAGATCCATTTTGTTTAAAAATAAAATAAATGGTGTGTCTTTAAACCATTTGGAGTTTAATAAAGTATCGAATAGCATGATGGATTCGTGCATTCTGTTTACCCTTTCATCTTCAAATAACATCTGATCATATTCACTTAGTGCTAAGACGAAACATACTGCAGTGATACCCTCGAAACAATGAATCCATTTTTTTCTTTCTGATCTTTGACCACCTGCATCTAAAACCTTGAATTTAGAAGCACCAATGCTGAAATCAGTTTCTGTAATACCTGTAGTCTTAATACGACCTTTCAAAATATCTTCATCTGTGCATACATAACCAGGTTCTGCAAATTTCCCTACATTGTCAAAATAATAGGATGCTGAACCTTCCAATTGGAATTCATTTGATCTTGCAAAACATTGCTTGATACCTTGATCCTTCGACCAAAGAAGACTAATTGACGATGCAATATCGTGATTGCTAAAGCTTTTTGGGTTAGGTTTTGGTTGGTTTTTCACAAACATCTTTTCATCACCTTCTTCATTTAAATTTTTCGAAATTTCTTCGTAATTGATACTATTCTTATCAGATTTATCAGAACCTGAATAACTATTTTTCTCTTCATCATCAAAGGCTTTAGCTTTACCGGTACTTTGTATACGTCTTCTATTTTCAGATCTTTCTGAATATTTTAAAACATAATCATTCAAAAATTCCGAACCACCAGCAACACTGGTATCGATCAAATCCAATGCTTTAGTATTCAAGATCATTCTCTTGGCTTCAAATAGTGGTCTATTTTCAGGATTATCACATTCCAATGGGATACCCAATTTACGAGCTTGAATGATTAAAATCTTCATTGATTGAATGGCATCTGCCCAGATGACTTGTGAATATTGTAACCTTTCTTGATAAGTGAACCCACCTTGATGTAATAATCTCAATTGTTTTAAAACTGTCGATTTACGAGACTCACCAGCACCTAACAGCAATAATTTTATTTCATTCTTTTCTTGTTGCTTACCCATTTGCAATGATTGTTCGATTGCGTCGTTGGCTTTTTGACTTTGCAAGAATGGGTCCTCTTCATCCTCTATATAAGGTGTACTTGCTGTGCACCCCATTGTGTTGATTATTGGTAATAGTTGTGACTGTGATAATAAAAAACGTTAGTTCCTGATATTCTTGTGGGGCAATCGAAGACTAATGAACTGGTATTTCACCTTGCTATATTATTATTACTATTGTTGTTGTTGTTGATATGTTTTGTCAAAGAATACCTGTCCTTTTAATATATAAAAACAATCCACACTGACACCATCCACCTATAGCAGTTCCAAGTAGTTATACCAGTTAATAAATACTAGTTTTATTCAATCTTCAATTCCTTTCAACTAATAGTTATAAATAATCTAAACTTCAAAAGGAGTGGCTCCCAAGATTGGGATAAAATAAAATAATTTAGATTCAATTAGGCAACATACTTATTGAAGCAATAAATTTTTTTCCTAACCCACTACGTTTCTTACTTCGATTGATATCCAAACATTTTCATAATTATAAAATTTTATTCCCACTGTCGTCAGGCAAACCTAATCAGTTTCCCAATGTGCTGAACTATCTTAACAATATCAACTTCAATCATAGCACCAGCATTCCAAATAGACATAGGAGGCCTCATCACTCAAGACAAGCTAAAGAGAAACATGAAACATCATCAACTGCTGTTTGAAACATACTAGATGAAACAACTCTAATCAAATTCTTCTCTTCTCTACTGCTTCTACGCCAATTGTCTCCGATTTTTTGATGTAAAATTTAACATGGCCAATTGCCTACGTAATTTATTCCATCAAAATGATGAACCTGGTCAACCAGACTTGGTCCAAAAGAAAAAAAGATTTCTTGGATGTACGTAGATAACAGCCAATGCAATACAGTTTGCTGAATTGCCAATCAGTATTGGAGTGTTTGGCTAGTCGTATCCACAGTTCATTGGGCCTCAAAAAGGTACTTCTTGGAAATATTAACAACAGGTATTGCTAATTAGCCCATTTGGTGTAGGTCCAGATAGGATGAGATCCGATATAGTTTCAATCATATGAATAATTACAATTGTATGCCAGTTACGATTGTAATTATTAAAACCAGGTGTTTATTTGGGGAGGAATGATATAGTTTAGCATTCCTGTCTATCTGATGAGAGCCCGTAGGATCAGAAGGAGCAGTATGCAGCAAGGTATAAATGAATTGCCGCTGCATATCACTAAGTAGATTGATATTTACTATGTATGCTGACTTTCATTATTTTGAGAGTTCACTGCTATTGTTAAATGAAGAAATCCTAAGGTTCAAAGGGTTTGGCCGATTTCATTCCTCCTATTCTTCTCCTTGCATTAAACCTACTATTTTTAATGAATCTCAATTGGGAATAAATAATCTTTGAAACCAACTTGAATCATCAACCTGTAGGCAACAGATTGACCTCATTGTCCCATCATCATCGAAAGTTTCATATCTTATTTAACTCTTGAAGCTTGATTATTAATCGCGTTAGATTACCAATTCAATTTGGCTATTATTACTAATAATATTCCACTCAAATTACAAGATTAGCACTCAAGGCAAGCAAACACACTCTTGGATTTCAAAATTACCAAGCAATTGATTCTCATAAACCTCTTATACATCCTCTAAAAACAGCTTTTAAAACCGCTGCTCATCTCTTGATCTAGCAAGAATTTTTCAGCTAGAAGGCCTTTAAAATGAAACTTTTATTGAAAGGTTTCATAGTTAATATTGATTGAACAATATACCTTTGAGAGCTATAAGAAGGTATAGATTAGCTATTCAAGTGCCAAGGTTGGTTGCTGAAGGTGTATTGAGTCGTTTATAATTAGTTTTCCTAGTTTGGTTGATGATGAGTGATGAAGAAATGAGTTCAAACAAGAACCAAGATCGCACGTTGAGTTCGAACAGTAATTGGTTCTCATTCTTATGGAGTCCATCTAATAAAACTCCTACATCTTTGGAAGGTGTTGGTGGATCTTCTAGCATGTGTCCTGTTAATCATGGTGATTCAGTTGGGGCATCCATGGATATTCCAGAAGGTCATCCGAAGATAGAAGGTTATTTTGGTTCAGATGCCAAATGTCCTGTTGATGATGATGCTAAAAAGATATGGTTATTGCAAAATGACAAGAAAAAACATACTGGTGTGATTCTACAAAGTGCTCCAATTGATATAGAATGTTCTTCTGATGCGATTCCAGCTCATCCGGTTTACAAGACTGATGTGAAATTGCCAGATCATAGGGAGTTATCGTCGATTCCAAGAACAGGAGCCTCTTCCAACTGGGTTTACCCATCAGAGAAGCAGTTTTATGAGGCTATGGTTCGTAAGAATTGGGATCCTGAGGCTGATGATATGAAAGTTGTGGTCCCCATCCATAATCAAGTTAATGAACGTGTATGGAACTACATCAAAAGGTGGGAAGAGAATGAGGATAGCGAAAGCTGTGGTGGACTTAAGTTAACTAGCTTTAAAGGTGACTCCAAGAAGCTAACCCCTAGAGCTTGGATCAGAAGCACTTTGTTGGGATATTCTAAACCGTTTGACAGGCACGACTGGACCATCAATAGATGTGGGAAAGACATTGATTATGTGATCGATTTCTACACAAACGATACTGAAGATAAGTCAGTCCCAGATATATATCTTGATGTTCGCCCTAAATTAAATACTTATGAAGGTATAAGGTTAAGGGTATTAAAGTCTCTAGGGTATTGAGTATTGAAATCTCTGGGGCACTGAGTCTCTGCATCTCACAATTCCATCGTCGTTATAATCCAACACCGTCAAATAACAAACAAAGAAACATTGTAAATAAACAAGAGAATACTTCTCTGTTCTTAAGATATATTCAAATCTAAATACTTATACATAGAATTCAATAGATTCATTTATTCACATTAATAATATTACTATTGTTGCAACTCATTCTTATGTAAACTATATGGTAGAAGTAGAAACAAGTATATACAGGAAAAGGTGACAAACACTACTCACCAGACACAGAGGACACCTCAGATGTACCATTAGTCGTGCTTATAACTTACCAGCACCGTTGAAAGTTTGGCCCATTGTTTGCATTTGCTCACCAACTTTGACATTTGTTTCAAAATACTTGGAAACACATCTATCCAAACAGTTGGCTTCAGTCTTATCAAGGGCACCATCAGCATAGTTGGCATTGTTAATGCACTTCTTGTGACAGTTGTCCACTAGCTTATTGAACATATCAGTAACCAAATCTAATTCTGATTCAGCATTTTGAATCTTTTGTGCTGAAGATAATTGTGGTTGACCGCCTCCTAAACCTAAAAATGACATCTTGCTGAGTTTTGTATCTGATTTCGTTGGATTCAAAAGTCCCTTCAATCTATTCAGGCTTCAAACTATGCTTATCTTTAGTTTTCTTTTATAACCTTTAATATGTTCTCTGTCAGAACTAAATTTTGTTGTCCGTCTTGAAGAAACATCAAATTTTCAGTGGGGTATAAAAGCTTACCCGGCGACGACTACGCTACGGTAATAGCATTTGAAGATGTTGAATTAGTTGCAATTAGGTACATAATCTATATAAAATGGGGCATGTATCGCTAACCCTGGATTGTTGTTCATTATAAAATGTGGTGTGGGAATTGTCATTAATTTATGGATGGGATTGGTTCATTAGATTTTTCATTGACGACATCATCATCATCGTCTTCATCGTCGTCATCGTCGTCATCGTCATCATCGTCGTCGTCATCGTCGTCATCATCGTCTTCATCTTCATTTCTACATTCTTCATTCTCATCATCCTCATCTTCATCTTCATCTTCGTCTTCTTCGTTTTCGTCTTCGTCTTCGTCTTCTTCATCATTTTGTTCACGAGACTTCTTTACTTCAGAGATTTTTTGTCGTAGTATCTCCACAATTTCATTCCATTCTCTCATCCCACCCATACCAATATCTCCACAAATAAGTACCTTTTCTACAGGTTTCAAAACTGTCACAAATGGTGCGTCTTCTTGTAACATATTTAAGTGTTTTTTTGTCATTGGATTGGTATACATCAAAGTGTTCATTGCTGGTGCTACGACCACTGGTGTATTAGATGACCATCCTCTAAAAATAGATGTTAATAAGTTGTTACAGATACCATTTGCCAGTTTAGCTAATGTATTAGCTGATAGTGGAGCTATCAGGAAGATATCTGCCCATTTCCGTAACTCTTGATGTAGCACTGGATCGTTGATCTTTCTCGATGCCAACCACTCATCTTCTTCTCTCCAAATCTTAACATGTGTTGAAATCTTCAAACCTCTCAAGAAATGTTCAGCAGGTTTTGTTACTACCAACTGTATTGAAATTTTCTCTGGAGAATAAATTTTAAATAATTTATCGATTAATAATGGAACTTTTATAGTCGCTACAGATCCAGTGGCGGCAATTAATATATGGAATTTCTTGTCGTCTTGTTTCTGTAAAAATTCAGTAAAAGGTATTTGAGGTCCAGTTGGAGGAGAAAAACGTTCTTTTGTATTAACTTTGTTGCTGGTTACGGTAGACAGCGGAGTTAATGGGATCGGTTCCTCTAATTGTTCCTTATCTGCTTCAAAGTATATGAAATCACCAGGCATATGAACAATGCAGCTTTTTTCGCCTGTTTCCTCCTGTTTTGTCTTTTCAGTCTCTAAGTTGGATAAAATGGACCCACTGACTTTTTTGATTAAATTATCAGAACTACCATTTGGAGATGCCAATTGCGAAGTTCTGCCGTTTGCAGGCTTTGACGATATAGAGTATCTGTGATGGGGGATCTTCTCATTATCCGAAGTTGTAAAGGAGACTACTGTTCCTGTAGCAGACACAGATCCATTGGCGAAAATGCTGTTTGACGCAGCCAGATTGTTGGCAGGCTTTGTAGGAAAATTCAACATGACATTACTGTTTTGAGTTGAGTTTGTAATATTGCTATCATTTGAAGCCATAACATATAGCTTGTCGGTATTTTCGGTGGCCTGGAAAGATTCATTCAGCTCCATCGATGTTAACATCTTGTTTATCTGACTTAAATCAGCAGGGGGAGTGGTGTTGCGTCTATTTGGGTTTTGGGAATCAGTTAAAGAGGTAGACCTACTATTTAATATTGAAACAGGTTTTGGTGGTTCATTGGAGCTAGTTGCTCCTGACGAAATTTTGTCAGGATCAAAATTTTGCAATTCTGCCATGACTAGCTAATCAAATTAGAAGATTTTGCAGCTTAGGTTGGGGGTTATCAAGTCTTGGCCGTGTATATAAATTTTTATTAACACACTTTCTGTATACTTTGTAAAAATCAATATTATTAATTAAAATATCATCCCAGTAAATCCTCTCTTCTCTTAACCATCACCTCAATTTTTTTTTCCTATAAATTTTTAATACCAAACCCAGTTGTAAGCAATCCTCTCTATCACAGGAAGGAGTCGTCGGTAACAAGCTGAAGGATTTCTAATCCCATGAACCACACTCAACGAGACTTTCCGGAACACTCTCTCTCTTGAGAAGGCAAATTTTCATCCTCCCATTTCCATCCATCGATTTCCCACTAGCTAACTATAGCAAAGGTCCTATTCCAAAAATAAAAACAGCGTTAAAAATGACGCTGCTGCTTTTGGAGGATAAACGAGGAACCACAACATTTGTCACGTGGATATCACGTGTACCACAGAGATTCTATAAAATGAATCCCGTCACTATACAAATAAAACCCACCAACCCCCCAATGTAATCCTGCAACCCATCAACCCAAGTCACTTAACCAACCTTTGCTTGTATACCACCGATCTTTAAAAACAGTACCCTTTCCATAAGTGACAAGCACTTTTATGTCTTTCCCATTCTCAGGTCCCGAGTATTTATACTTCCAAATATCCCAACCATCAACAAAAATAAAAACAGCCGCCGATGGCTTCATTGTGATGGATGGGAATGAAGAGTATAAGAAGACAGCTATAACAATTACTGGAACTCTGTTTAAAAAGGTTGAGAATCTCATAGAATTATGCAGGTCCTCACAGCATGTTTCATCTCTATTATTTTGTAAAGTGATTTGGATTGGACGTCTTGATTATTATCTAATGATTATCTAATTGTCTATAAAGCATTGCTACTATATATATACTTCTGCATGTTGGCCATACAGAGAGTTGATGCTCTCTTGGGATTGTAGAAACCGTGAGGAAAGGGTAGTGTGTTCGTGTTTGGACTGATTTCTGGGTGGACTGTTCTCTTGGAGGTTATCCTTCTTAGAGGCAGTATTGATTCCCAGCAGGGATAAAACTGAAAGCTCGAGTCTTTTAATCATGCTGTTTCCTTCCCAGTCAGATCTTCCAAACGAAACCAGTGATATATCTGTTATATCTGGATTCCCGTCGTCCAGTTCCAATTCTGACCCTAAGTTATCTTCATCTGGCACTCTTTCACTGCCTGAATCGGTGTCGATATCGGTGTATTCATCTGTTGTAGTGGAACATATACTAATTCCACTGTCATGTCGATGATGGCCTAATCCAAATGACAGATCCTGGCTGATATCTTTTCCGTCACTGATGAACCTTTCTGATCTGATGGTCTCTCTGAATTGACGGAACTGCACTTGACTTGGACATTCACAGCCGTCAAGGTGAAGGTCCTCTGAACACTGATGACAAGGTCTGTTTCTGATAGAGCCTTCAAATAGAACAGGAATCCCAGGTGGACTTGCTGTTCCATAAGTAACTGGTGTGATGCAGACCGAATCGAATGACGCATCTTGGCGTATTGGACTCGATCCAGTTCTTCTCGCGATGCTCCTTGGGGGATCAGGCACCTTCTTGTTTTTCCATCTCCTAATTGTGTGATATTTATAATCTTGAGACTCAAACTTCTGATCACTTGCCTTTGACTTCGATTTTGACCTTGACCTTGACCTCGACCTCGACCTCGACCTTGGTTTCGATGGTGGTCGCGATGGTGGTCTTGGTTTGCTTCTCCCAAAATAGCGTCGCCAGAAATGCTGTCTCTCTCTTCTTGCTTCTACCTCTGCCATGGTAGCTTAAAACTGGTGCTCATCGTCCAATTAGAACAGTTCATTCAGCAACATGGTCAATTGCAAGTTTCAAATGATAGCCAGCTCTTATACCAGCTGCTGTCACTGCCGATTTGTGTCGCCAGTCACTTGTGGCAGGATTCTCATAATTACACGTTACCTCATGGGGG